TTGGTTATTTATATCTTCTAATTCTTTGCTAAAGTTTTCTGTTTCTTTCTGATATTTTTTTCAAGTGTGTTCTTAATAGTCTGTTGAAGCAGATTTATGAACTTTGCATTATTGTCAGATAATTCTAACTTCTGTATTATTTGGTGTCTGTTGAATGTCTTTTCTCATTGAAATAGATATTTTCCTGATTCTTGGTGTGACAACTGGTTTTTTTATTGAGACCTAGACATGTTGATACTATGTTATTAGCCTGTGAGTCCTAGTTAAGTCTTTGTCTTAGCTGGTCTACTGTGACACTGCTTAGTGGGGTGAAGCAGGGAAGTGCTTGTATGTCAGCTCCCTGGAAACTGACATCTGGAGTTAGCTTTTACTCCAGGCTTTTACAGGGCACGAGGCCAGGGCTGAGACCCCCCACGGATGTCCATTGGTTCCATTACCATTTGTGGAAAGGCTCTCCTTTTCCTATGGAGTTACTTGGGCACTTTTGCTAAAAATCAATTGTTGGGTGTTATTTCACTTCAGGAAAAATTTCTGGGCTTATGCACTTAAATGTTAGTTCTAGTACATAGTTTTATTTTTATTTTTCAGGCATTCCAGTTATGTAAATCTTGGATTACTTTGCCTGTTTTTTATTTGACTTTCTGATCCTTTGGAAACTCATTCCGTCCTGGCCAGGTAGCTCGGTTGGTGAGAACGTCGTCCTGATGTGCCCGAGCTGCAGGGTCCCCCCTGCTCCACACCCTCACCAGCACTGTGGTCTGTCGGTTGATTGATGGCAGCCATTCTGGCAGGTGTGAGGTGGTATCTCATTGTGGCTTTCATGTGCCTCTCTGATGATGAGTGATGTTGGACCCTCCTGGTCATATTTCTGTTGGCCTCTGTACGTCCTCCTCGGAGAAGTGTCTATTCGGGTCTTTTGCCCATTTTTTAATTGAATTGTTTGTCTTCCTTTTGTTGAGTTGTATGAATTCTTTCTGTTTTGGAAATTAACCAGATTATAAGATTTTAATTTAACTATTTGATTTTGTATTTGTATCTCTTTGGTCTTTTCCTGAAAATTTTTGTCTTTTTACTTTTTTAGAAAAGTTCTAGGTTTTCAGTTGTAGTGAGCAGGAAGTACAAGAGCTTTGCTGTAGGCCCCCTGCCAGGCTCCACATGTGGGCAGCCTCCTTCACCATCAGCATCCCACAGGTGGTGCACTGGTTAGAGCCAGTGCGCCCACACCGCCATGCCACCGCCACCGGAGCCCACGGCTCGCGTGAGGCCACTCCCGGGCTGTCGGTGCTGTGGGTTTGGGCCAATGTGGTAGACACAACGTTATGTACCATTATAACTGGACAGAGTAGGTTCACTGCCCTAAAATCCCTTCCTTTGTCTTTCTACTTGGTGAATTCTGTTTTTAAAATAATATTCTTTTTAAGAAAATTATATTTCTAATTATTTGCTCCTATTGTATAGAAATACAAGCAAGTTTTTTTATCCAGCCACAGAGTTGACAATCTCTCTTGTTACTCTAAATAATTTTCCTGTAGACTATTTTGTTTTCTGTGTAGATACAGTTACACCGCTCTGGATATAATTTTTGACTCATGAACTTTAAAGTTTGTTTTTCAATTTCCAGTTGTAAAATTTGAACCTCGATTAATCTTTGTCTCTGATAACTGCCTGGTCTCTAACTAATTGCACTGACGAGAGGACATGGCCTGTGAGGTGGTGAGGGCACGTTCGCCTCCTGCAAAGTGACTAGCTCTTCTCTGTGCCCAGTTGACTCGGGTCCCAGCACGTTTTGCTTACCTGTCCATGCCTCTGTCTGCCCGGAAGTCCCAGCCCCCTGCCTCCTAGTCCAGGACGGCGAGGAAGCCTCAGCTGTCAGAGTGTCCCCTGGAACCCGTGGTCCCAGGGACCCCGTACGTACTGCCCGCTGAGTGCCATGAACGAGGGTGCTCTCCAGAATTAAATGACAGATTTACTCCAGGGCCTTAAGATTGCAAATCGGGGTCCACTGCAGGTCACACCGGAGTGTTCTGAAGAAGCAGAAGAGCTGAGCGTCTTAGGGAGCAGGGCCGCCCCGCATCCTTGGCCTCTGGGTTGGTCTGAGTGGTGATCTCAGGCCGCCAGGCACGCGGACCTGCTTTGCCCGTTCTGCAGAGGGCGCGCGTGGGTTCCCGTAGGCACCAGGCACCGAAGTTCAGAAGTTTAGGTTCTAGTCCTCGGGCTGGTTAGCGCGAAGCGCTCTGTCCCTCGGACTCGCCCACGCGGTCTCGGTGGCTTTGTTAGCCTGGCTGTGCTGACTCCACGTTCTTCGGCGGCGCATGTGCAGTCCCCTGCTCGTTTTCTCCTGTTCCTCTGTCTCCTGTTGCCTTGACTAGGGCCCAGCCAGAGGAGCTCAGAGGAGCGGACGGAGCGTGATCTCCCGCCTCCGCCGTGGCTGCTCTGAGACACACGTCTCGTTGCTCACGGCTCAGCACATGGGCGGCGTTGGTGAACGTCCCCGCGCTTTAAGGGAATGTTTTCTTCCATCTCGGGGACATGGCGTTTTCTATTTGTCTTCTGAACCATTTCCTAGTTGCACTGCTAAACATTCCTACACTCACCAGGGTTTTGCCTGACTGACTGGATAAGTGAGCGAGGTGATTTGAAACCCCCCTCGTGGGCCGTCAGCTCTGCCTTTGTCCGCACATGTCCTGATCGATCGCAGCTGTGAACACTTTGAAACGCAGATCAGAACAGAAAGCCTGGAACAGACGACAAAGTGCTGTATTTTCTGCCACAGTCGCGGCATTTCTGATCTCTTTTGTGGGGCTTTTTCTTTTACTTCCTCTTTAAAAACTTATTAAAATGCACGCGTTGGCCTCCTGCATTGTGAGCTTCTTTACTTGTGTGTAGAGTTGTGTGTCTCCGGAACCGGGCTGCTGTCCCGTGTGCAGCCGCTCGAGCCTCCGTGCTGGGGCTTCCTCCGGGACATCCCCTAGCGTCTCTAGTGAGCGTGGCCGGGGGGCACGTGGCCGCCGCTGGACGTGCAGCCCTTCCGTGGCCTGTGTGCCGGGCTTGTGTCTGGTGAAGTCCTAGGAACGGCCGTTAGACCCGTCACGGGCAGGTCACGGCCACGCCCGCCCGCTCACGCGCCCGGTGAGGGTTACCTTCTAGGATTTGCTCCATCCGGCGTGGACTTGACAGTGTCCCCTTCTCCTCCTCTCCCTCGGTTCTGAGGTTGGATGGCGGCTTGTGCATTTGCTTGGTCACCACATGGTTCCTCTCCTGCCGCTTAGAGACGATGAATTCTGTCCGGTTGTTAGTGGCCGCCCTCCCATTGCGCCCTGGGTGGCGGCTGTGTGTGGCTCCCCACTCCCCGCTGCTGCCCCGCCTGCGCCCCGCTCCCAGTCTCTCTTCACTTTCTAGACCTTCTCGTGCGCTCAGGCCTTCCTCCAGGGCTGCTGTCTCTTCCCCAAGCCGCCCTCCCGCCAGGACTGCTCCCTGCGTCGCCGAGGAGGAGCCGCCTGTGGGAGGAGCGGGCTAAGAGCCGGGGATTCAAGATCTCTGCCGCTTCGTAGCCAGAACCTAACAGACAACAACGCCAAGAACAGGCCTCACCAAACAGCAGCGCCCCGGAGACCTCTCCTCCCCCTCCCCCCCCTCCCCTCTCTCCCCCAACCCCCCTCCCCCCTCCCCACAGTGAGCAGAGCCTCGCTCCCTCTGCACGTCCCTCTGGTCTTGCCCCTGTCCCCACACTGTCTCCTCCTCCTCCTCTGCTCTGGGCGGGACTGGGCCCCTTGCCCCCCACCCCCACCCCCACACCTCCCCCCCCAGGGGTGGCGCTTGCAGTTCTGTCGTGTTGGCGTGTTGACGGGTCCAGCGCCTGGGAGCCTTGCTGTGTGTTCTCCGCTTGGTAGCGGTTTACAGGGGAGGCCGGGCTGTTCTCAGTGTCGGGGCCCCGGCCATTGGCACGCCGGGTCAGGTGTATGGCATTTTGTTGCTTGTTTTTTTAAGATGGATTTTTACAATTTCTTCCCATGTTTATATTCAGTTATTTTATGTTCCTCACCTCAGATCTCAGAACCCGCTGGGTGTGAATCTGGTTCTGACGCCGCTCCGGGGGCCCGTGCTGCTCTGTGGGGGGGAGGGTTCACTCCGTTCCCATACGATTGACTGAGCGCCTCACTCAGGGGCTGGGCTGACGGAGCCCTGAACACGGGCCCACGGCTCCCACGGGCCTGCGGGCGGCCCTGGCCCTTCTGCACGGGGTGCACGGGGCCTCGCCCGGGTCGGCGGTGAGGGGGGAGGGTGGGGTGAGGCATCGGGTCTGGGCTCCCCAGTGCGGACCCCCCGCCTGCTCGCTTTCAGCTTCCTGCTCCCTAACCTGTTAGTCCTGTCAGCTCCCTTTTCCTTGTTGGTAACCTGCGTCCAGCCGTGGGCATCGCCGAGCTGGGGAGGTGTGACCCCCGGGAACGGGCTAGACCAGGGGTCCTCAAACTTTTTAAACAGGGGCCAGTTCACTGTCCCTCAGACCGTTGGAGGCCAGACTATAGTTTAAAAAAAGCAACTATGAACAAATTCCTGTGCACACTGCACATATCTTATTTTGAAGTAAAAAAACAAAACGGGAACAAATACAGTATTTTTATTTGCATGTGGCCCGCGGGCCGTAGTTTGAGGACCCTGGGCTGTACGTCAGGGTCGGCACTCACCGCTGTGGGGACAGCACTGTGCTGGGCGGCGGGAGCTGCGTGGCCCTGGACTCTGAGCAGCCTGATGTGTGGGAACCGACCGAGGGGGCGGTGCCGAGTCAGGATGGTCTGGGAGGGGCCTGGGAGAACCCCAGGCGGTGCGCCCAGCGGGCTCCGGAGGGGTCTGTGGTCCAGGACCCCGAGGTCCGCAGAGGCACCGGGGCTGCGGGAGCGGGGCTCCCAGCCACACGCCTTTCCCGCGATGGAGCCCGGACAGCACCTGTCGCCGGTGAGACCTGTGCGCCACCCCCTCACCTGGTGGCCCCTTCCTTGCAGGTGGCAACGTGGACCTGGAGAGCCAGGCGGAGGGGAAGGAGGTGGAGGCCGACGGCGTGATGCGGAGCGGCCCCCGGCCCATCGTCCCCTACAGCTCCATGTTCTGTCTCAGCCCCACCAACCTGTGAGTCCCCCCCGCCCACCTGTGCCGTGCCGCTCGCCCACGGCCCGGTGACCCACACGCACATGACCGCTAGGTGCTAGGTGTGCCGGCAGGTGACGTGACGGCCCGGGTCCTCCTTCTGGTCACTGGGTCAGCCTCACTGTTCCCGCAGAGGGGACTCTCCGGCGTCATCAGCTTCCGAGAGTCTCCCGTCGTCCTGCTTGGCCTATGCCCTGTGTTCAGTGACCTCCCCCTCGGAACAGCAGCGCTCAGCCCGCTGCATACCTGCAGCCGCCCCTCCCAGGGTGCCTCTGGGCCTCAGCACCCACCGCTCAGAGCCCAGCTTCCTGCGGGAGAGACCAAGTAGGCGGCGGGCGGGACCCGGCTGAGCCCCACTTTGCCCCCAGGCTCCGCCGCCTCTGCCACTCCATCGTGACCATGCGGTACTTCGAGATGGTCATCCTTGTGGTCATCGCGCTGAGCAGCATCGCCCTGGCCGCCGAGGACCCCGTGCGCGCAGACTCGCCCCGGAACAACGTGAGCACTGCGGGGTGCGGGGGTGGCCAGGGCCCAGCTCCGCGCCTGCCAGGAGCAGCAGGAAGAGGGCAGATGGGCCCTGGCTGACGGGTTGTCCGCCCCGAGGTCGGGGGGACCTGGAGCCCGGGCCCTGCGGCGGGCTGGCCTCCTGAGAGCATTCCCCGGTTGCAGGTCCTGAAGTACATGGACTACATCTTCACGGGCGTCTTCACCTTCGAGATGGTGATAAAGGTGAGCGTGACCCAGCCTCCCCCGGGGCTCTCACGTGCCCCCCCCACACACGGGGACCCGGGGGGGTCGCTCACTACAGACTCACCGCAGCGTCAGTCAGCGGGGAGAGCGCCCCGCACGCCTGACCAGGGTCCCCGCTTTCCGGATGTCGGGCAGGAGGACGTGACCTGGGCCCCTCCCCCCACCCGCGGCTCTGGGTCCGCCCGCCCTTTCCCTGAAGTAACCGCCCCGAACTGCACTTCTCCCTGAAGATGATTGACCTGGGGCTGCTGCTGCACCCGGGGGCCTACTTCCGGGACCTGTGGAACATCCTGGACTTCATTGTGGTCAGTGGGGCCCTGGTGGCGTTTGCCTTCTCGTAAGTACCCACGTCTGCGGCCCCCAGATGCGCGGTGGGGTGTCGGGGGGCCGCTGGCCTCCAGGCTGCCTGTAGCTCCGTCCTTCTGCTTGGCCTGGGCTGGGTGGGGGGACCTCTAGCCGGTGCGTCCCCGACCAGCCTGGTTCTAAAGTTGGGGGCAGCCTCGGGCTGGTCTGCTCGGCCTCTGGGCAGCCCCCCTGCCCTCGGCGGCTCCCATGGGCGGAGCTGGGTGCTGGCGGGCGCCGTCCTGGGGTCCAGGCCCTTTTCTCTGGTTCCCCAGCGAGTGATGCTCAGCCTGCGTGGCTGGGCCTGGGGCTGGGCAGGTGTGGGGCTGGGCGGAGCCGGGTCCCCGGCGAGTGGTGGCAGGAGATGCGCAGACAGGACGACCGCAGGCGCGGAGGGCGGGTCCTCCTCTCGCCCAGCCAGGCCTCCTCACTGACTCTCTTCTCTTTGTCTCCTTGTTGCTGGACTCCCTGTTGTAGGAGCTTCATGGGGTAATGCCTCCCCCTGTCCCCTCACACCGCCCACATCTCAGCTGCCCTCGGGCCGCGTCATACGCTCACCTCTCATCAGCTCCACCTCCCTCCGGGCTGCATGCTGCCGGAGCCACCTCCCCAGGCGGTGCCCACCTGGCCTGGCGGAGCCTGGGGGCTGGGTGGGGACGGGCCTCCGTGGGTTCAGGAGCAGGTGTCCCACGTGAGTGTAGGAGGCCGGGAGCGAGAGCCCGAGGCCGCTCCGCAGGGGCTGCTGTGACCAGGTGGGGGCCCCGATGGGTGGGGGCTCCATGCCCCGTCTGTGCTCAGAGGCTCGGCCTCCTCTTTGCCCGCCCCCCGACGCCTGGCACTCCCTCCCTCCTGGGGCCTTACCTCTATGGAGGAGGGCACAGCTCGGCCACCACTTGCCGTGTGGAGGCGTGTTCGACGGGGAACTTGGAGTGAGAGGGAGGGGCAGGGAGACCCAGCCAGGCGCCCCAGAGGGAGAGCAGGACAGGGCTGGCAGAGAGAAGGCAGCCTCTGCCTCAGAGCCCGGACCGAGAGAGCGTCTGTTTCCTAGGAAACAAGGGCAGGGCTCTCGCCTGCCCCCTCAGGTGCCCGCAGGCCCCTCCCAGGCTGGCTCAGCGGGAGCTGCGAGGCTGGTTTGGGGAGGGTCAGGGAGTAGCTGGCGGCATGCGGAGCCGGGACAGCCTGGCTTCAGGGGTGTTGATCTGCTTCTGGAACGCAGGCCCCAGCAGGGTCCCAGGGGAGGGACCGGGAGGCTCTAGCTTGACTGGCGCCTAAGGAGACTGGGGGCCCCGCTCCCCTGACAGGCAGGTCCCCTGAACGTGGGGAGAAGTGGCCCCTGAGCAGGATGGTTAGGGGCTCAGGCCCTGAGCCTCAGCCACTGCCCGACGCGGCCCCAGTGGGTGTGGCCTTGGCCCTGAGCATGGCCTCCCGAGGCCCCTGCCTGGCTTCAGGGTGGCAGGAGGGCGGCCCCAAGAGTGACAGCTCCTGGGCCCCTGCCGGCCCGAGGGAGCCCCAGGTTCCCTCCGAGGGGCCTGGCCTGGTCTCACAGGCCCTGGGCTCTGGGCCTGCTCTTCACCTGCCTCCTCCCACCTCCTGGCTACTTTCTCCATCATCTGTGTCGCTGTCTTCACTCTGTCTCCTGTGGCTCTTCCGCCTCCCCTCTCCCCGCCTTTCCCTCCTTCCCTTCCCCCCTTCTTTTTTTAAAAATGTGTTTGTATTGACTTCAGAGAGGAAGGGAGAGGGAGAGAAACATCAATGATGAGAGAGAATCATGGATCAGCTGCCTCCTACACGCCCTACACGGGGGATGGAGCCCGCAACCCAGGCCTGTGCCCTGACCGGGAATCGAACCGGTCGATGCTGGCCAGGCCTCCCTCTTTCTTCCTCTCCTCCTTGGTTTCCCTCTTTTTCTGTCTCCTTCCCTCACTCCCTCCAGGCTCCTCCTCTCCCTTTCTGTCAGTCGTCCGCCACTTGCCACGTGGAGGCGTGTTCGACGGGGACAGAGGACAGGCAGGGAGATCCAGGCTGTGCTGGGACCTCCTCTCGGAGAGGAAGCAGCCTCGGGAGCTGGGGTGGCACTGTGCCCGCTGGCCCCTGGCTGCCCTCTCCCCTCGCTGCCAGGGCCGCCTCACAGGGGGCAAGGGCAGCTGGTGTGGGCCGGGCGGGCGGGTCATGGACGTGCTGGGAGAGCAGGTGCTCCCTGGCCCCCAGGTGCTGCTAACCCAGCCCTTGTCCACTCGAGGGGAGGCCTCCGTGGTGCCCACCAGGCGCGGCCTCCGAGCTCCCACGCCTCTGCCCTGGGGCCCAAGGCAGACGCAGGGGGAGGCCCGGGCCCAGGGGGCTGCGTGGGGACGGCGCCGGGTGCCGCCTGCGTCTGCATGTGCGGTTCTCCTTCCAGAGGCTCCAAAGGGAAGGACATCAACACCATCAAGTCCCTGCGGGTCCTGCGTGTCCTGCGGCCCCTCAAGACCATCAAGCGGCTGCCGAAGCTCAAGGTGAGAGCCGGGTGGCGTGAGGAGCGTGCGGGCCTGCACATGCGTGAGCACGCATGTGGGCTGTGTGTATATACATGTGTGCACAAGGTGCATGCACGTGTGTGCACACTGGCCACGTCCTGCGGCAGTTTCTGTGTGAGGTGGGGGTGAGCAGAGCTGAGGGAGCCCCATGTGAGGTTTGCTCAGCCCACGCCCTGTCGGGGGAGGGCCCTCTCCACTCTGACGCCCTGAGAGCCATTCCCAGCCGTGCCGTGGGCTCCCGTCCTTCCTGCGGAGCAGGCAGGGGAGGCAGGAGGCGGAGGGTGTTGGGATGGGCAGGGCCCTGAGGTGGTGTGGCTGAGGTGCTGGGTGAAGGAGGGTATGCTGTGCGTAAGGTGGTGTGAGCAGCCTCGGGGTGCGAGCCTTGGGGACACAGGCAGCAGGGGTTCTGGGGGCAGGGCGGGCTGGGAGGTGATGGAGGCAGCCGGAGGGGCTGTGTCGGGAGGTGCCCGGGGACACTGCAGGTGGGCGCGGCTGCTGGGTCCGAGCCCCGCACCAGGCGGTGTCTCGGGAGACGCTGTGCACCGGCCACTGCACACTAGGGCAGGGCAGGACGTCAGCCCGGCTCTGAGAGGCAGGGCTGAGGCCAGGCCAGTGGGCAGGGAGCACGGAGCTTCCGGGTGTGGGAACAGGACAGTCTCTGGGCCACAGAGCATGCCCACGTGCCCGGGCCAGGCCGCCACCGCGAGGCTGCTTCTCTGCCTGCGTGTCCTGCCGACACCAGGAGGCCCGGGTCTCTCCCTTCCCCCTGACCCAGCCCTGATGCGGGCTCCGGGCTCTGGGCGGCCCTGCTCTGAGGCACCTGCCTCGTGACACCTCTCCTGGCCCCACCCGCCCACTTGACACGTCCGAGATGACCCCTCCCTCCCGAGGGGGGACCCGCCTGCCGGGCCGGTGCTGAGCCTGCACCGCCCCCCCCACAGGCCGTGTTCGACTGCGTGGTGAACTCGCTGAAGAACGTGCTGAACATCCTCATCGTCTACATGCTCTTCATGTTCATCTTCGCCGTCATCGCCGTGCAGCTGTTCAAGGGCAAGTTCTTCTACTGCACCGACGAGTCCAAGGAGCTGGAGCGGGACTGCAGGTGACCGGGGGCAGGGCCGGCGCAGGGGCAGCTGCGAGGGCTCGGGAGGGGCGTGCACCTGTCCCGGGGCCACACGGGCTCCAGGGTTGGGACCAGCACCTGGGGTGCCAGGCTCTTCCTCCCCAGACCTGCAGGGAGCTCCCGGCACGGGGATGGCTGGAGGTTCTGCAAACCCCCGAGACCAGGCCCGGCCCCAGGTCAGCGGGGCTGCCCGAGGCTGCAGCCACTGCCACCGTCCTGGGCGGGCCCACAGCCGGGCCCGCGGGGAGGCGCCGCAGAAGTGGGGGGAGGGGGGGGGTCGCTGCTGTGTGGGCACCGAGCAGGGCCGCGCCAGCTCCCTCCTCACCACAGCACGTCCGCTTGTCTGTGTGACTCCCCCCTTCCTCACCCGCTGTGGCGAGGGCCATGTGGTGGGCTCCAGCGTGCGGCCCAGCCACGGCTCTGGGCACCTCGGCCACGGACGCAGGGAGCGTGCACCCCACCTGTGGGCTGTGGGTGTGCTCGCTCGCACAAGTGCTGTATAAACTCGCACTCCCCCCAGTGACGCGGCCGGAGCCCACCCACCATGCGGGCGGCCTGCTCGCTGGGGCCTTCCTGGCGCGGGCGCGGGTGCTTCTCTGGGTTAATGGGCATGAACCTCCTGGGGACGCGCCTGAGCCGGCCTGTGCCCGTTTCCCTGTGGGGTTGTCCGTCTTTTTCTGGTTGATTTGTAGGAGTTCTTTAACCCCTGGGCGGGACTCCCCGGCCCACTCTGGCTCCTGGCCTGTCAAGGAGCGTGCGGGTGGTGTGAGCCACACTGGCCGTGCCGTCTAGCGTGCGTTCCTGGCGTTCAGTGCTCAGTGGCTGGGTCAGGGCGGCCTGGGCTCCCCTCTGGAAGCTGTGTCTGCCTCTCCCGTGGCCGCGGTCTGTCTGGGCTGACGCTGTTGCTGGGGGAGGAGCGAGGGAGGGGTTTTCCCGTCGGAGCAGCACCGTTCACTCGAGAAGGCAGCGCTCCCTGCCGCGAGGGAGTCTGTGCCACAGACGGCTATCGGGGTGCACTCATGCCGAGCGCTCACCCTGGCCGTGCACGAGTCCTCGGGTCAGTGTGCGCGACGGGGCCACCCTCACTCGGCCGCTTGAGAGCGTTTCCTCAGCTCAAACCCGCAGGGCCCTGGCCGCGTGGGTGCCACCTGCCTCCCCCACAGCCCCAGCCGCCCTGACCTGTGTTCTGTGTCTGTAGGTGTCTGCTCTGGACACTGTGTGGACACGAAGGCTCACAGTGTGCGGCCTCCTGTGTTCCCGAGGCCGTCCCTGCTGGCTGGGCACGTTGACCTCTTTACTCGCCTGGGGTGGCCGCCGGGCTGTCCACCTCTGGTCACTGTGATCTGCTGGGACCTGTGCGAGGGGATTGTGGACAGATGTTCCCACGTCCCCTGAGTGGGCACCGGTGAGGGGAGTGGCAGCGGGCCACGCGGCGGCTCCGGAACAGGGCCGGGCAGTGCCAGGCGGTTTCCCACCGCGGCCGAGAGCCCACGTCCCTGCCGGGGAGGGGGCCCTGGGGTCTCCAGGTCCCAGCGACGCGCTGTTTTCCAAAGGAAGCAGCTCAGTCCTCGCCGGCCGGCGGCTGCGGGCGGTGTCTCCTCAGACTCTGCGCCCATGTGCACCTGAGGTGCTGTGGTGGCCGTGACGGTGGCCGTGACTCTGCGGCGCAGCTGGAGTGCTGTCCGTGCACCGTCGGGACGCACACAGGAGGCGACTGCTCCCTTGCTCCTCTCCCCCCCCTCTAAAATCCACAGGGAAAGTAAAGTTAACCAAGTACAGAAACGATCATAGTGGTTCTTTACATGTTCTAGACACAGCTCCCTCCTCAGAGCGACAGTTTTCAAAGGTTTGTCCCATCCTGTGAGCTGATCATCTTTTGAGGCACAAAAGCTTGAAGTTTTGGTGAATTCCTGTGTCTGGGTTTTCGTTGTTGCAGCTCGCGATGTTGGTGTCATGTCTCCGGGTCCGTTTGCCTAAGAGGCCACGTGTTTGTCCCGGGAGCGTGTCAGACGGCGGCCCGGTCAGGCCTTTGTCCGGCCCGCATCACGCCTCTGAGTGTGGCGTGTGCCGGCCCGCGTCATGCCTCAGAGTGTGGCGTGTGCCGGCCCGCGTCATGCCTCTGAGTGTGTGCGTGTGCCCGGCCCGCGTCATGCCTCTGAGTGTGGCGTGTGCCCGGCCCCGCGTCACGCCTCTGAGTGTGGCGTGTGCCCGGCCCGCGTCATGCCTCTGAGTGTGGCGTGTGCCCGGCCCGCGTCATGCCTCTGAGTGTGGCGTGTGCCCGGCCCGCGTCATGCCTCTGAGTGTGGCGTGTGCCCGGGCCCCACGTCACGCCGTGTGCCCGGGCCCCACGTCACGAGCCGGCTCTTGCTCCACGCAGAGACAGCCGGCTCTTGCTCCACGCAGAGACAGCATTCAGGAGCCGCTCTCACCTCTGTGTCGTCCCCAGGGGCCAGTACCTGGACTACGAGCGGGAGGAGGTGGAGGCCCAGCCGCGGCAGTGGAAGAAGTACGACTTCCACTACGACAACGTGCTCTGGGCCCTGCTGACGCTGTTCACCGTGTCCACGGGGGAAGGCTGGCCCATGTGAGTGCCGTGTGGCAGCCAGGCAGGCAGAGCGAGGGCAGGGCCTCTGGTTCCTCCGTGTGGGTCTCAGCCGCTCAGCAGGTGCCCACAGGCTCCTTCCTGCTCCTGCCCGCGAGGGCGGCCGCTCTCCCAGAGGAGCTGATAGGGCGAGTGATGTCCTGGAGCCCCTCAGTGGCTGGTGCCACAGGCGGGGGCTCTCCGTGTCTCCCTGTGCTGCCCTCGGGCTCCGGAGGGGCCTTCGTGTCCCGAGCACATGAGTAGCAGGAGCTTCCTCTGGGACCAGCAGGAACCCTCAGAACATACACCCTGGGCTCCTGAACCAGGGGGAGCTGGCAGTGGGTGGGCTGGGTGTGAGCAGGTGTGAGCAGGTGTGGGCTGGGTATGAGGGGGTGTGGGCTGGGTTAGGGCAGGTGTGGGCTGGGTATGAGGGGGTGTGGGCTGGGCGAGGGCAGGTGTGGGCTGGGCGAGGGCAGGTGGGCTGGTGTGAGCGGGTGTGAGCAGGCATGAGTGGTGAGCGTGGAAGAGCGTCGGGCAGAACTGCCGAGCCTCTCCCCTTCCTGGGACGGGACTTCAGGCACATGGAGCCTGCCCTGGGAGGCCCTCCCACAGCCCTGCACACACCCCTGCTGGGAAGGTCGCCCACCTCCAGCGAGATGGCACCGTGGGCAGGGGCTTGGCCCACAGGGTGGCAGCGCCATCTGGGCTTCCTGAGGGAGCCTGGCCTGGGAGGAAGCGCCTGCCTGGCCGCCGGCCCTCATGTCCTGTTGCTGTCGCTGGCCAGGGTGCTGAAGCACTCTGTGGACGCCACCTACGAGGAGCAGGGCCCGAGCCCCGGGTACCGCATGGAGCTGTCCATCTTCTACGTGGTCTACTTCGTGGTCTTCCCCTTCTTCTTCGTCAACATCTTCGTGGCCTTGATCATCATCACCTTCCAGGAGCAGGGGGACAGGGCGATGTCCGCGTGCAGCCTGGAGAAGAACGAGGTGGGCGGGCCTCCTGCACCTCCGCGCGGGTGGTGGGCGGGCCCTCTGGCTCCTGCGGCTCAGGGCAGGGAGGCTGGGAGGTCGGCTCGGCTGCCTTCTCGCCCCGGGCTGCCTGCGAGGGGAGGTGCTGCGTGGGTCCCCGCTGAGCTGCGGGCACGGCTTTGTCCCGAGCAGAGAGCTTGCATTGACTTCGCCATCAGCGCCAAGCCCCTGACGCGGTACATGCCTCAGAACAAGCAGTCCTTCCAGTACAAGACGTGGACGTTCGTGGTCTCACCGCCCTTCGAGTACTTCATCATGGCCATGATCGCCCTCAACACCGTGGTGCTGATGATGAAGGTGCGTCCGCGGGCCGGCCTTCCTCCCCGCGCGGGGTCGGGAGCTGTGGGAGCTGCAGGCACCGCCTGGTCAGCACGGGCGCCCGTCGGGCCTGTCACTGGCTGCAGGCTGAGACGGGAGAAGGTCTGGGAGGACGCGGGCAACGGGGAGGAGTGGCTGCGGGCTGGGCAGCTGCTGTCCACCCCGCACACTGACGGGAGCGAGCGTCCCCGTCCGGCGTGGGCGTCAGGGCAGCTGCGCCCGTGGCCAACACCCTCCTCCCCGCAGTTCTACGACGCGCCCTACGAGTACGAGCTGATGCTCAAGTGCCTGAACATCGTGTTCACGTCCATGTTCTCCATGGAGTGTGTGCTCAAGATCGTCGCCTTCGGGGTGCTGGTAGGCGCCACTCCTGGGCCGTGTCGTCCGAGAGGGGCCCTGGGGGCTCCTTGTTTGGAGCTGGAACTGTCCGAGCCCCAGAGCGCAGACGACCCTGCGGGGATCCCATCACCCAAGTCTGTGCCCCGGCCAGCTCCGGGGGCAGGTTCCCCTCGGGGCACGTGGCTCTCAGCTCTGCCCCTGCCCAGCCTGGTGTCTGCGGGCCAGGCCTGCGCTGTCCCCCCTGGGGTGGCCCATCAGCTCCTGGCCCGTCCTGACTAGGCCCTCCTGGCGCCCCCGGCAGAGCCCCAGCCCCGGCACTGACCGCCCTTCTCTCTCTAGAACTACTTCCGAGACGCCTGGAACGTCTTCGACTTCGTCACGGTGCTGGGCAGCATCACCGACATCCTCGTCACGGAGATCGCGGTAAGTGCTCCCGTCCCGAGGCTCCTGCAAGGCGCTCCCTCGGGGCGGCAGGGCGTGCTCCACGGGCGGAGCTGGGCGCAGGGGTCGCCCCAGCAAGTGCTTGCTCGGGTGAGACTCCGTCCCCAGAACGTCCGGCGGCGGCTCATGTCACACCAGCAGGAGGACGAGAGCCCTTACGTGTGTGTGACGCGTGGCCCCAAACTCAGAACCAGGACAAGCTCAGACCTGAAAGCCCAGGTGTGTTTTCTGTGGAAAGCGGGACGGTGGTTCTCCGTCATGGTCTGTGCCCAGCGCTGGCCGTGCTGGGCGGACCTGCACTGAGGGCTGAGCCAGGAAGCGCGTTTCTGAGCACAGCGCTCGGCGTTAGTGAAACGGCAGGTTCTCCGGGAGCTGACATGACGTGGGCTCTTGTACGCGTGCCTGCGTGGGAGGCGTTCCCGACCCAGCCGCAGAGAGAGCTGGGGGTGGGGCGAGGGGAGGGAGTGGAAGTGCCACGTCTAGAGCCCAGGACAGGGCACGTCTCAGACCCCACGAGAGGCGGCTCTCAGCCTCAGGGCCTGTTGGAGGGACAGTGGGGGGTCTCACCATGAGCCGTGCCGCTCTGCCCACCTCACGTGTTCACCTCATCGATTC